AGGCCTTCCAAGCCTCACTTCTTGGCATGGAAGACACTTAAGAACATCTGCAGAGCAACAGGGCCCAAGCAGAGCTACCATGAGGCCTCGAGGCCCAAGAATCCCACGTCAAAGAAAGGTTGGAGGGGCCAGGGTGGGCTTCCTGGGGGAGGAGAGGCAGCTCCTCAGCTGTGGATGATGAGCACCCAGCCAGAGCTTGGAGGGTAAGTGACAGGGAAGTTGGTCTGGGAGGTCTAAGCCTGTTCTGGTTGGCTGACCCCTGGGAAATCCAGGGAGTTTCCAAGCTCAGAGCTTGGGGGAGGGGTCTGGTGGGGTGGTAGGATTATAGCAAGAGTCCTACTGGGTGGGGAGGGCTTCTCCAGTCTTGTCTTAATCCCTCCTGCTGTAGGAGGCTTAGATGTGGAAGTGAGGGCCGCAAACTCAGTGTGTGTTTGCGTGTGTGTGTGTGTGTGTGTGTGTGTGTGTGTGTGTGTTCACTGGCGTCAGTGTCTGTGTAAGCGCATGAGTACCTATATGTGAGTATCTACATTTGTGTTCCTGTGCTCACATGTGCCACGATCGGTGTGCTGTAAGTCTATGCAGCTACATATGTGATGCTGGGCGTGCCCATGCCAGTGTCTGTGTCTAAGTGTATGTGAACATCTGCATCCTTGTGAGAACACTTAGGTCTGATACCGTGTGCGCAGGCTCCGTGTTCATGTGGGTGTCCGTGAGTGATTGGGTGTATACCAGTGTCTGTGACTGTGTCCGTCTGCCTATGTGTGTCTTTCTGTGAATGACTTGGTGTGTCTGAAGGGCTACAAGTGCCAGTAAGTAACTTTGTGCACAGGTGTCCATGTGTCTGAGTGTGTGTAACTGTGTGTACACAGGTATCTATGTCTGTCCATGTGGTTATGCGTTATTTTGTGTGTACCCAAGAATCTGTGGCTCTGCGTGCATGTGATTGCCAGTCGCCATATCCTTAAGAGCAACCTTCTGAATCCTTGTCACAATCGTTCAATCAGACTGCTCCCTTCTCCCACCTCCGCCCCTGCCTCCTGGTCCCTGGGGTTGGAGGCTCACACTTTTGAGGCGCTCAGCCTCCCTGGCCCTAGCCAAACCTCATGACCATGACTAATGGGGCCCAGACTGGGGTGGAGACTGCAGGGGACACCCTCTACAGGCTGGCATCCCACCAGGAACCTCATCCATCCAAATCCTGCCCCCACCTCCCACCATGCACCCGTGGGTGTACTTGCCCTCTCCCTCCTGTATTGCTAACCCTCCCCCTTCAGGAAGCAGCCTCCCCTGAGACTTTGGAGAGTCAAGGAAGTCATAGTCTGAGCCCTCAGGGGACCTACTTTGGGGCTGAGGACCCCAACCCCTAGAGCTTCCCTTGACCTGAGACCCAGAGGTCTAGGTATGTGCATTCCAGAGAGTGAGATCAACAGCCTTGCTCCCATCTCCTCAATCTCCCTAGTAAGCTCCCCTCTTCTACCCTGCCCTGTTCCACCTTCTGGCAGGGCTCCACAGTTGCTTCCCTGGCCTCTCTGGTTGTCCTTGTTGACACCAAGGCTAGTGTTGGCCAACAGGACCTGTAAGAGAGAGAAACAAGGAAACTGACAGGACCCTAGAGGTTAGGGTCAGGGGTTGTCTTGGTTATCTAGTGCTGCTATAGTAAAATACCACAAGTGGATGGCTTAAACAAACAGAAATTTATTCTCTCACAGTGTAGTAGGCTAAAAGTCCAATTTAAGACATCAGCTACAGGGGAAGTCTTTCTCTCTCTGTCGGCTCTGGAGGAAGGTCCTTGTTGTCAATCTTCCCCTGGACTAGGAGATTCTCAGCGCAGGGACCCTGGGTCCGAAGGACACACTATCCTCCTAATACTTCTTTCTTGGTAGTATGAAGTCCTCTTGTCTCCCTGCTTGCTTCTCTCTTTTATATCTCAAAAAAGTGTAGCTCAGGACACAATCCAGTCTTGTAGATTGAGCCCTGCCTCATTAACATAATGCCACTAATTCCATCTCATCAACATTATAGAGATAGATTTACAACACATAGGAAAATCACATCAGATGACAAAATGGACGATTACACAGTACTGGAAATCATGGTCTAGCCAAGTTGACAGATATTTTGGGGGGACACAATTCAATACACGATGGGGAAAAATGAAAAACAGTAGGAATTGCCTCAGAAATCCAGGTGTATCTGCTGAATCTAAAATAACATTGGTCCAGGGAGGCCAGGACACTTACAGTAAGTCACCTGGAAAGGGGCTTTGAGGGCAGCCTTTCCAGCTTCTCTCCAGGAACAAGAAGTCCCTCTGTGATTCTGATGCATTCATTCATCCATACAATATTCACTGTGCCAGGCCTTGTGCTAGGAACTGGGGACACAGAGCTGTATCAGGCCAACTCTGTGCTCAAGTTGCTTCTGGCCTCATTGGTCTTCTCCAGCAAGTTCACTATCTCATAAGTTCTTGAGTCCCAGCAGTGCACAAATTCACCTGGTTGGAGACCCCTAAACCCCCTTGCTGCCTTCCTAGAAGCCATGGTGGAAGGGTGCAGGTACCCAGGCAGACAGGGTGCAGACCCCAGTCCCAACCGAGCCCCACCCAGCTGCTGCAGCCTGGAGTGTGTGTGCTGGAGGGCCAAGCTGCTAGGCTGTTTGTACAAGCCTGACCCAGGCTGCCAGGCTCTTCCTTCAAAGGCTGGCCCAGCCCCTGCCGCTTTATTGCCCAGCTAATGACGGTGATTAGGCCAACAGGTGCCACCTGCCCGCCTGTCCGCCCTGCTGCCTGCTAAGGAGGGTAGTTTCCAAGCAGCTGACCGAGGCCTGCCCCCCAAGCTCTGTCTGGGCACCCACCACAGATGAGCCCTCCAGCCTTGGGAGGCCTGCATCCACCTCCTCCCCCAAGAAGCTAGGAACAGCCCAGTCCTCATCCCCTGGGGCTGCTGTGTGACCTCAGCCCACACCTGCCTCTCTCTAAGCCAGACAGACTGAACAGTGGGGAGGTAGGAGGGGAGCTGAGAACAGTGTGGGTGGGTGTGTGTGCCCCTCATGAAGCTCATCCACCTCTTCCCCAGCCAGGGTTGGACAGTGGGTACCCACACAGGGTCCAGAAGTAGACAGTCACAGAAGGGTCCTCCTTGCAGATGGGGCTGGGGTGGCTCCTTAGGAACCCACTGCATTATGGGAAAGCCATTGGGGGAGCCCCACGATTCTGGGGCCAGCCCACTGCCGTGGGGACTGACGCCTGGGGCTTTGGTGGGGGGTCCCAGGTGTGGGTCTAGGTGGGGGCTGTGATTTATGACTGTGCTTCATGAGTGAGGAATGCCAGCCTGGGGGGCCTGGGGCGGGGTGGAGCCGCTCGCCTGACACTTCTCGCTCTCCTGACACTTCTCCCTCTCCTGGATGTCTGGCGTGTCCTGTCAGGATCCCCTGTCCCCTGGGGAAGGCCATGTTCTCTGTCTCGCAGCAGCCCCCTCCCCTTGGTGCCTCCTCCTCCCCCCATTCCAGCTCCAGGAGAATTGAGCGAAGGCTCAGCCCAAGGGGGACCCCGAGTTAAACCCCTTCTGGTTTTCTCTCTTCAGGACACGAGGGTGATGGTAAATATCTCTTTTCTCCCACTGCAGCAGGAGGGAGCTGGATGAGGCTCTCGGGAACTTCCATCTAGATGAACTCAAGACTTTCGAAAGGCAGCAGCACGAGGTTATGTGCTACTGTCTACAGTGAGGGACACTTAGGCTAGACTCAAAGATGCACTTCCAGCCAGGAAGAGAAGTTGAGCTCCCAGAATGGATGATGGGTGTGGCATCATCGCCCCATCCCCTCCCCCTGCAAGATAGATGAAAACTCTGGAGTCCATGGGGGCAGGGGGTGGGTGGGGGAGGCAGAATCATCGAGAGTGGTGTCTAGCCCTGGGCTCTAAAGGCCATGCCAGTTTTGAGCCTGTTCTTGCGAGTCTCACCTGCGTTCTTCTTGCTGCAGGCTGCCATTTTGGGTGGGGGTCCATCTTTCTGGGCACCCAGCACGGGTCAGCCTGCCTCCCCCTGGTCTGGTGGGACCGGTTTTTCCAGCCGGAGGAAGGGTCGGTGAGGCATTGGCAGGGGCAGAGGGTTTTATGTAAATGTCTAGGGAGCGCTCTGGGAATGAGGAGGCCGGTTTTCCCAAAGGCACGCAGGGACTGGCAGCTCCCAATTAGCCTGGCCGGATGATGTCAGTGATACTCTCCTGGGTGGCTGCACCCACTCCGGTCGGCCTTGGCAGGGGTGCCCCACCATTACCTTCTCCCTTGGGCAGAAAGGGTGCCAAGGGGGCTGGCCTGCAGGGCAGAGGCCAGGCGCCCTCCCACTGTGCCCCCAACCTTGGGTCTGACCACATGTGGACCAGCCTGGAGAAGACTGAAAAACCACCCCAGACTCTACCAAAAAAGACTTTAATGTGGCCAATACCTGAACCCTCCGCTAAACCATGAGAGGCTGGGGAGACCTCGGAACCCTGGGCCAGTCCCAGAAACAGTTCCCATGGCTACTGCTGATAGGCCCTCTTTCCCAGCCCTTCCCAACCCCGAGTTTCTATAAATACAGTGCAAAGGGGTCTGGTCATAAAGTAGGAAAGATAAAGATCATGGATGCCAGAGAGGGTGCCGCATTGTCTGTGAACTCACGCACATGCATGAGCTGCGCACACATACACTGTCAAGCGCACACACCTCAATTGTGTGCACACACATAACGCCCCTCTCAGACACGCTCACATCACACACCACCCTCATATATATACATACATATATATACATATATACATACATGTATATACATATATACACACACTTTTCTCACACACAGGATTGCACACACATGTCTTCCTTACAGGCACATGTCCGATGATGTATACAGGGGCCTTTCTCTCAGCCATTGACCTAGGACTTGACGTTTGGGGTGTCCCCTCCTAGTTCAGAGGAAAGGGAACGCGAGTGGGTCCTTCTGGGTTTGGCCAGGCTGTTCCCTGGTCTAGGGTTGGGGCATCATGAAGCTGGGCTGGCAGTGGGCTGTGGTGTTGTCAACATGGGCCCAGGAGGGGAAGGCGTACAGGTTGAAGACGGGGTAGCCCCAGCTGTTGATGGCCAGCATGATGACCAGCACCCCGATGATGTTGAGCAGGAATCCCGTCCGGGCCTGGTGTGAGGAGAGTCAGTTGGACTTTGCAGGTGCTGAGCTGAGCCGGCACTCAACCCTCAAGCATTCTGGGGAGCTCTGGAGCCCTCCCACTAGCCACATTCTCCCTGGGAAGTCCCCCCTTGGTATAACTTGCATCACTAGGCAATGTCCCTGGCCCTTGCTTGACTCCCAGTGCTAACAGGAAAAAGGGAGGCTCTTTGTGAGCTTACAGGGCCCTGAGCCTTGTTCTCTCTGAGCCTACCTCCCTGGTTGTGGGTGCCTGACCCCTTAGAGTTGCCTCCATATTCCTCACCTCCTTCCCTCCCTCTCACATGCCTAGGGCAGGGAGGAGCCCTAAAGATGTCCCAGCTGAGGGGTAATGTCCCAACTGCTGCCTGCAGTCCCCCTAATCCAGGGCCCACTCTCAGCTCTGAGAATCTCAGTGGTTTTAGGCTGCTTTGTGGTCCACCAAGCTGAAGAGACAGAGCAGGAAGGAGTGCTGAGGTCTTCAGCCCTCCTTGCCACTCACCATATCAGACACTTCGAGGCCCCCGAAGGAGAAGACAATGGCATTGGGTGGGGTGGCCACAGGCAGCATGAAGGCCAGGGAGGAAGCTAGAGTGCAGGGCAGCATGACATAGAGCGGGTGGAGGCAGATGGCCTGAGCCTGCAGGGGGAGAGGCGGGG